TAACGAGTGCAAAAATTTGTCTTTGCCACCTTTTCCTCCTGTACTCTCAACTAAAGATACCCTAATCTAAGATCAATATTCGAGAAACATCTCGAACCCCTAAGCTGGTCAAACAAGCCATCTATCCTCGGCAACGAGTACTTGTGCTTGATAGTGATCTGGTTTAGCCTTCTATAGTCTACACACAAATGCAATGTCCCCTCCTTCTTCTTCGTAAATTGTACCAAAGCACACTATAGAGAAGTACTAGGACGAATACAACCCTTACACTACAAATCAGTCAACTGTTCCTTCAACTCTCTCAACTCAGCTGGAGCCATACGGTAAGGTGGAATGGAAATAGGCCTAGTGCATGGGATAAGCTCTATCGTGAACTCTATCTCTCATCTCGGCAATAGACTAGTCAAGTCATCCGAGAAGACATCTAGAAACTCATTCACGACGGGTGGTAACACACTCTCTGTAGTCCTACTCCCATCTGCTACCAAACTATCTAACACGTAACTATGACCTCCCCAACTCCTCAAATCATACAAGGGTGGAACTAACAAATTCTCACGATCTCACATGAAATAAAAGGTATCTCCCTCAGGAGTACACACTATCACTCTCCCCCTATAGCAATCTATACTCGCCCGAAAAACAAACAATCAATCCATCCCCAAAATAATATCCAAACTAGACATGTCAAGTAGAATGAAGTCAAAATAAAGGATGCGATCATCTATCTCTATCGAGCAATCTCTACAGATCCTCGTCAATATCACACTACCCCCAACTGGTGTCAACATGCAATGGTGGGTCTAACCGATCTATGTCTAACCCCAATGTCATGACAAGCATGGTAGATATGAATGAATAAGATGCACCCGAATCTATCAGTACGTTAGCCCATGAACTCAGCACAAGGAATGTACCTTGAACCACTAAAAGGTCTAGACGTAGATGCCTCTGGTGTGGCCACTGCATAAACACAACCCTGAGTAGTCTAGACCTGCCTACCTCCCCTTCTCTTTCCCTGCTGACCTACTCCCCTCTGTCCGGGAGCTCCAACACTCTGTGTGGAGGGTGCTGACTGGAAATATGGTGCCGGAGGTCTATGGCCTAATTTGTAGCTGTGGCAGAGGCACCTAAGTATGCTGATAGTAATGTGGCATCTGCAAGCTCTGTCAAGTCTGACCTTGAGGACAGTTGGCCTAACATGACCCGTCTGGTGACAGGTGTAGCAAAGCAGTGGAGCTCTCCACTCCTGACCCTATATCGGTGGTGGAAATGACCCCTGGCTCGATCCAGCTCCACACACCTGGCTGGGATCTCTCTGGGGGCAATCGACCATTTTATAGCCAGGCTATCCATACTGATAACAAGGGGCCTCTGAGGTACTCCCCCTAGAAAGTAATAGGCACAGCAGGTCGAGGGGCTTAAAATTGGGCAGGGCGTTACGATGTATGTGCAAAAGAAGCACTAGTCCTGTACCTCTTTGTTAGTCCCCTACCAGTGTAAACTGGAACAAATGTAGAAGCATGAGCTGTAACTGCCCCACTCTACATCCAGGACTCTCTAATCCCTCTAAGGTCGGCTAACTCCCTTTCAACCTTGGTGGCCTTGATCACTGCCTCATCATAGGTGTCAATAATGTGGCCTATCAATCTATCCCTGATGGAGGTCTTCAACCCCCTAACAAAGTAAAGGACCCTCAGTCACTCCACTCGAATAATATGTGGGGCAAATCTCCCAAATGTTGTAAATCGAGACTCATACTAAGTCATCGTCATGTCTCGCCGTATGAGAGTCACAATCTTATCCATATACCCAATCCATGCAGTCTCAGGAAAATAGTGGTCATTGAACATGGCCATAGAGGCATCCCATCCCTACCCAAAACTGTCTATCCGGTCAACAACTACTCTCCACCACTGATTAGCCAACTCAGTAAACTGAAAGGAGGCACATGTGATCCTCAAAGGTGGCTCCATGATCCCTTGTGAGTTCAGGATCCTGGTGATCTGCTCTAACCACTCCTCGACTACTAGAGGGTCGGGCTATCTAGAAAATGTAGGAGGTCTCACCCTGGGCTCGCTATCTACAGTCCTAGTCTCCTGCATGGCTTGAAAAAACTCCTTTACAATGGTCGCCATATCTCTGGCACCAATGGTTTGATCCACCTCCTCTGTTGGGGCAGGTGCTGAAACCAGAGCAACGGCCTCCTCAATTGTGCTATGAGTAGGAGCAGTAGCTTGGGGCCTACCACTCTGCGGTGGTGCAGTCGCTCTAGGCCTACAACACTTAGGTACTATAGGTCTAACAGGAGTTCTCTTTGGTGGCATGTTCTACAAGTCCAAGAAGAAAAAAAAATTAATACATGTCAGCGACTCACACTTCACAAGCAACAACCATAGCATGTCTTAACATACACTAAACTAGTTCTTACACTTAACATAATGCTCACATAAATTTAAAACTATGTGTCATGGCCCTATCATGTTCAACAACACCCCACAGTCTCTAGGTATTCGAACCTACGCTCTAATACCAAGTTGTCACACCCCGAATTTCCACAAACCCGGGGAGTGAGTGAAAAGGAAGAAGAAAAGTAAATGAAAGGTCATTAGGATAGATAAATTGATTTTTCATTCATTTCTCACATTTTCCCATTTTTTTCCCAAAGTTTTTCAAGCCACTTTCCTTCCATTTTTAACCTATTTCTTCAATGTTTCTAAACCCCCCCCCCCCTTTTTGACATCATTCCCACCTATTTAAAAGGTGTTTTACACACTTAACAAGTCTTTTAATTTTTCATAATATTTCAACATAAACTTCTTTGTTTTCTAAGCCTTTTTTCCACCTAATATTTACAATACTTCATATGTATAAGTATATCACAACCCATTCTCACTCGGTGGCCATAAATCCATGTAAATTACACATACATCTCTTGTTTTCAACATACACCTCTAGTTGTCTCAATATACACATATGATACTCATTAAATAAAGATATCATACATATCAATTGGGTTTACACTCTTGCACTTTAAAATGGCCCAAGGCCTATGATCCACTACTTTTCTAAGCTAAAATACAAGTCATTTGGGCTTATGCATATACATACAAAATATGCCCCAAGGGTCAAATGTTCATTTAAGTCCCTTTTCTCTCCTTCCTTTAAGACTTCCTTAAGTCTCAAGTACCGGGAGTCTCATCTATAATGTGATATCCCACGAATGACTCAGCTCAACTATCGGTACGACAAAATGTTAATGTTAGGAACAAATTTAAGGTGTGGCATGTGCAAGTGTACATTTTAAAAGTTCATTGTTATGCATGAAACATACATGCAACTCTATGACACCTATGTCTCGCTTCACGGTCCGCCCCCGTCAGCCCGCGAGTACTATCATTGGCCAAATTTTGAGTTTTTCACCATAGGATCTACATCCTCATAATGCATAGCACCAAGTGCTCAACCCATGCCATGTTCCAAGGATTCATGTATGTCAAGATGCCTTGATTTTTCTCAATGTAAATTCTCTGGAACATTTCATCAACACATGATGTATAACTTAAAATATGCCTCATTCATAAAGTAAAGCATAACTTCAAATTCACAACACTTTGTCTACATGAATGTGAGACACAATTCAATGAGTTAAACATATGACCAAGTTTCATGTTCATTACTTTCACAATTTCTCAAAGAAAATACAAATATACAAACTATCTACTCATGGAATAAATCATAATTCTCAAACCATAAGAGTTTCTTTACATGAACATAAGGTAGAATAAAATAATCCAACACATATGCAAGATACACCTTTATCATAGTAACAAATTGTCAAGAAACTCAAAGAACACAAAAGTACATAATCTACTAACTCTAAATTTTCAAAGCAACTACCACCTAAGTGATTTTCTAATATCATGTAAACATCTAAATCATTCAATCAACTCATAGAAAGGCAAGAAAACTTAAACCTATTCCTAACTTAGCAAAATATCATACCTAAAATAGTTTTTATCAAACCGAGGGAGTTGTGTTCGCTGTGCAACTGAACTGAACCGTGAGAATATAGTCCTGGTTGAGCGAAACAACTTTCTAAAAGGAAGTCCTACAAGAATCTTGGCCTATGAGTGTGTTTTGGTGGCTTGAAGCGTGAAGAACCTAGGATTTTTCTTCACGTTCTCTCCATGATTGTGTTTTGATCTTTTCCATACCAAAATGTGATATTTTTACACTAAGGACGTTGTATTTATAGTGGAGGGGCAAAGGTACAAAATGACCCTTTTGCCCTTATGAATTTGGGACCCTATTACACTACAACTCGTCCTGAAACACTTCAATTTGACATTTTGCTTTAACCAAAGTTCTTATAATTATTTAAAATAAAATTTACAAAAAAATAAATTTTCGCTTATGGTCGGGTTTTGCCGGTTCCACTCGGGATGTCCTTTTAGTCCAATTTTTGAAACTATTTTCGTTTAGGCTCAAATTGACACATTAGGTGTATTTTAACATTCTAAGAATGTTTTTCTTCTATGACATACTCAAATTATAATCATAAACATGACTATGCCTAAATGATACATATGTAATACCCTATCGACAAATGGTACATGAATAGTGTCCTACCGATAAAACGAAAAATTTATTCTCATTTTTCAATTCTCTACAAATCAAATGGAACCTTGGGAAACTAAACATTGCTATCAAAAAAGAGCACTTCAACATCTGAAATCTAATGAGGTATGTGTATCAACCATGGCTTAATGTTTTTATTTAAAATTATTAGTATAAACATACACTAAATTTCTTTTGTTACTGTGTCCGTTATAACATGGGTAGTTGAGGGAATACTGAGAAAAGAGGGATTAAAGAAACAATTCCTAAAGAAGAAAAAGAAAAACAAAAATGTTGAGGTGCATTATGAAGAAAACACATAGACAGTAGTTGTTGTGTACGAGAAACAAGGCATCCAACATGATAAAATATCCCGAAAAATGGGGACAGAAGTTGAAGATGTCAATGTGAATGATTATGGTGACAAAAACATAGAAGACACTATTGCTGGACATGGTGATGAAAGAATAGCCAAAAGTCAACACAGTAACATAGTGGTTATTGTGATAAAAGAGCAAGGCACATAGACTGACATAGTTGTTGATGTGGAAGATACCACATGTGTAGGAGAGAATATATATTGATCAATTAATTGAGCCAATGGGTGGATTGTTTGATGCAATTTCCATGCACAGATCGCCTATTCACATGAAAGTGGTGTCAACACAAATAGACAAAATAGATGATTGTGGTCACCAGGAAGAAATACAACAACTTCTATTTGAGAAAGACAACCATTTGAAACTTATATCAGAGCTAAGTGTTGAGAATGATAAACTCAAGGAGAAAATGGAACTCGGAAAATATGAAAAGGATGTAGCAATGCAAGTCGATATGGTGAATGCATCAAGCACTGAACTGGTGTCAGACCTGTTAGAAATGAAATCAAAACTGAATGGAAGGGACACCGAGTTACGTGAGATAGCAACAAAGATAGCACTCCTGGAGCAAGAGAAGCAAAAAAAAATTGCAAAGATGAATAAACTGAAAGAAAGATTGGAGATATTATTACAGGAAAATTGAACAATGCATTGGCAAATAGAAGAAATGATAATTCATGCAATTACACAGAAGTGTAGTAAATCAATACAGGATTTGTCTCCGCTTGTGTGAAAACAGATAGGGATGATACCAACAAATACACATCCATTGTGAGAGTAATAAAGAAGAAGGAAAGGAAAAGGAAAAGAGATAAAGACTATGAATATTCGAGGAAAAAAAAAAGTGAATAAAGGAAAAGGGGTCCAAACAAAGGAATCATACAAGCAGACAACAAAGGCAAAGGAAAAAAAGTCTAAAACATCAGATCACCTATGTGATATTGTGGATGTTGATGACATCAAATACATGTCAATTGATAACCGAAAAAATGAAATAGAAGCTCCTAAAGGATTGGGCAAGTGACCGGTTTACAAGTGCTTAGAAGCTTCAAACTACACTAAAATTTTATAGATAGTGAAGATTGAAGGGATTGAGCAAGTATCCATATCATGCGACTTCATAAAAAAAGTGTTATATTTTGCTTACTAATAAAACATATACAAATCCAAAATACAAAGCGTTACTGTGATTTTTTAAAAGTAACAATTTTTTGTTTTTAATGTTTGTACATGTTAATTACCCAAGACACATTTGTGATCAAGCAACAAGGACGGAATATATATAACTATTGACGACATTTTCACAATGTTGACTGAAAAGAAAATCTCGAACAACGTAAGAAATCATTATATTCATTTGAATTTAATTTCCTTGGAAGTGAGAACTTATTGTACAATTTGTTTGTGATTGTGCAGATCATTGACTATTTTGGAAATATTATTATGGAAGATCATTTCGCGGACATGTTTACAACAATGGAAAACAATTGGTTCATTTTTAATAGCCCGTGTTGGGTAAGCGGTTAAAATATTGTCAAATCAAAGTAATTATGATCTAAAGAAATTGATTGTAATACAAAATTTGACTATTTCAAATTACGTAGACACTTTATAAACACAAACAATCATCATGAGTACTGAGTAAAAGTATTGGATAGAAACATCAAGGATGAGACTAACAATAGGTATCTTGTTCCCTATCAATTCTATTAGCAATAGTGAAGAAGGAACACCTTGACATCGGACATTGCTTGTGTTGGATGTTGAAGAAGGGATATGATATCACTACAACTTATTGAAGTCGAGGAAGGGTATCACTGACTACTATCTTCAAGATGCACTGCTTGTGGTAAATTTTAAAAAGATTTATTAAAATTATATGTTTTCTAATTTTTGGATTTAACTCAAGTTTGACTTTAAGTAACATTAGCATACTTGTTACTGTCATATTAAGGGTTTTTGTTTCTTCGTTATAGGTATTAAACTAACAAACTTGTTATTGTCAACTATACTTTTTATTCATTGTCATAATTTTAAATTTTTATGGTCCATTATGTTTTAGAAATTTTTTTATGAGAACATAGTTTGGCAACTATACATTGTCAAAAGGTAAAGAGTCTATTGTAACTACCTAGGATAATGGGCGACCAATACAGTCAGTTGACAAATGTCCACAATAGAAAGATGATTCGTAACTCACACTGTTAAATTTAATAATTCAAAAACTCAAATCTTCATGATCTAATACTACAATTTGTATCATTTTTTGTGCAGGCTTGACTGTGGCATTCATATTTGCTACATAATGAAAAAAAATTGAATGGTGAAGAAATTGAAAATAAAGTTACAGTTCATCATATGCGAACCGTGCATGATAAAATCGTACACAAAATCCTCAGCCACAAACGGTCATAAAGCCAAGAAGATTATAATGAGAGGGAAAACTTCAATAATAATACGGCAAAAGCTCACATTGACACATCATGTTTTATCTATGTTTATTTTATTATTATTATTTTTTTTGAACGCCAACTCTAGATGGTTTGATGATATTTTGAATGTCGATATGATCAATATCTTAGTAATATACAAAATTGTTTAAAATCTGAATGTTTATAAAATAGATCAGAAAACATGAGCAAACAAACACAATATCATGATCATAAAAATGCAGTATCATGGCACTACATTAATAACATGGTGCAAAACAAAACACAGTCATGATCATGAAACCACAATAACATGAGCATGCCACCGTAGTAACAACATCATATCATCACATTGATAGGGTCAGTACCATGAGCATAAACACACAGTAACATCAAAATGCAAGCATAGTACAAATAGCAATAAACATAGTAATAGTCGCGCCTAGAATCAATAACTAACCACACCACCACATTAAATTGTAGAATTCCACCACAACAAATTATTCATTCCAAAAGTCGCAATACATCCAATGAATATCTTCATGTGAATGAAACAATCAAGTGAGTGAACAAATTTAAAGGAAAAAAATAAATAGGCTACATAGGTTCATTACAACTTATCCTGTTGTGATTTCCCAATTGACCACACCGACCACAATAAATCTTTCTAACCTTCTCACCCCTAGAATGGATCCTACATTTCTTCGGACAACCAGGATGTTTCTTCACAATTGCTGGTAGTACCTCAGCTTATGAAACAATACATTCCGAATGACCAATGGTAGGAATAGGATATATAGCTTCAAATTATGCCATCTTTTAAATATTCACATGGTAGAACTTGTCGATAAAATCATTGAGATTTTTCCCACTTTTCTGACTGGCTAAAACGGCATGAGAACAGGGAAAGCCATTGATGGCATGAACATGTCATATTATCAATATCCATAGTAACATAAGGGTGAGAGTTTATTTCGAACACATAAACAGTCAATACTTTAACCAACCATGTTCTACCTTCGTCAAATGTAACTTTAATCTAGCTTCCATCTTAGGGCATGCAACTCCATTCCATTTTAGTGCTATTTTTCTTCTACAACCCATTTGATTCATGATTTGGCTCCTTATGGTGTCCACCATGTTGGTAATAGGAAGATATCGTACCTTCAATATCCAAGCATTAAATGACTCTGCAGCATTTGATGACATCTCACCATACTTATAGCCTTCAAAAAAAGCATTTGTCCAGTATTCATACGGAAGGTTAGCAAGGAATATATCGACGTAATGCCTGCATTCATGCTTAAAATTATCCATCTCCTCATAAAAAATTTGCTTTGTTGGAGTATACGTGCACTCCCATAACAGGAACACCATATGGTCCCTGGATACATTTGAAAACTGTACCCCCACTCAATTTACCGCTCAAATTTGATTTCAAATGCTGCAAACAAAAAGCATGATGATAACTTGGGAAGACATTGGAAATGCTTCCAACAAACCAACATTACGATCAGTAACGAACGTGATTTGTTGATTAGCATGTACAATTTGTGCTAAGTTCTGCAAAAACCGATGCAATTAGACTCATTCTATTTGTCTGCAACAACAAATGCAACAAGAAATAAACCTACATCATATTTGTAAACAAAAAAATGCTCAGGTGATATAAACTATTACATAAAATAATCACATTCAGCGGTAAAAAAACACAGTAATAGTTAAAAGAGTTAATATTACTTACCTTGGTTCCCATCCTTTGTAGTAGCTAATAATATGTTCCCTTTAAACCTCTCCTTCACAAAAAAGCCATCGACAAACAACATGGGACGACATAAATTAAATCCATTTATACAAGTTTTGAAAGCAACAAATTGCCTCTTGAAACGTGTGCTCTCACCATCACAATCAAGCTTGAAAAGGCTACCAGGATTCATATTGGTGGCACACCGAATGTACTATCCTAGCTGGTGGTAAGATAATGAATGCTCACCAAATTGCAAACCTCTAGGTTTCTTGACACCAAGCTATGCACTGTCCTAAGGGATGTTAGCCCGTAATCTTAACGGAAATGAGTAACTATTTCTACAACACATTTAGAAGGCTCCTCACGAACATTATCAACAATAAGCTCAATAACCAAATTTGAAGACAAATGCATGCTTTGATTTTTGCTTACAACAGTTCCACGAGTGTGTTTGCTGTCAAGTCTTCGTATGTAAAAATAACCACTAGCCTTGTATTGAAGCATGAACTTAAAGCCAATCTCAATAGAATATTTTCATAGTGCATTGCAAAATTGTCTTAAACCCCCTCCAATTTTTGTACCATAGATCTAATTTCTATAGACCATCTAGATGACATTAACACTGTTAATATGTGAGTAGAAGATAGACATTAAATCAATCTCTTTGTCATATACGCTATCACCAACAACATCTACTAGCACATTCTGCATCACTTTACTACCAGAATCATTTCCAATTCTGATATATCAACATGACTAACACGTAATGCACAAACAATACCAAACAAATTCTTCACATCAATATCCTTTTGCAATAGACATCTTGGGGACCAGGTATACCAGAATATAACAACACAAATTCCTGATTTAATTCTCCCCACTTGTTCATTAATCCATCCACAACTATAGAATAGTTAGAATTACCATCGAAACTCATTACGTACTTGCCACACCCATGTCTACACATAGTATTGCATGACCGTCCATATTGTATCCTGCAAAGCATTACAATAACAATTCACCATGTAGCTGTTAAAAAATTAAAACAGTTATAACATGTAAAAGAAAATGTCACAGTAACAACATAATTAACACAGTAACATGATAAAAACATATACATTTAATACATTAATACTATAACGGACACAATAACCATAACACATGATGTAACACTATAAATAACACAATAACATGTTACAGGCTAACAAGCAGAACAAAAGATACCAAAAATTTGTAAATAAGAAATAGATTATGTATTCACCATTTCAATAGAACACGATGCAATAGAATCATAATCCATTATCGCAAAAAAAAAAAATTAATAATAACATAATCATCTGGCAGTAAAATCTTATAATTCATTGACACACCAAATTTAAACATCACCAAACAAACAAATAATCAAGATAACAAAAAAAATTTGTTCAACGAACTCAAATCAATCATCTATTTTTTAATGAACTGATC